AAACCATGCTGGCGAATTAGCTCAAGAGTTTTCAAAGATAGGCGATTTTTTGTGGCTATCTCTCTCTTGGCGTTCCTCGCACATTCATGGAGGTGCTGAACCAGTCGATCGTATTCCTCGTCAATGTTGTCAACAATGGCATCTTCCCATGTTGCCGCAATAGTACCAAAGAGTTCCCAGTTGGTGGTCATTCTGGGAGTTCACTTTTTGAATTTTGCAGCCCTTTCTCCCCGCTCTGTGAAGTAGAATTTTGCACGAAGGAGACGGTGGTCCGATCCCGTTCGAAATTTTGGGACAACAGTGACATCGGTCAGGCAAAACCGTCGATTGAATATGATGTGGTCTATTTCGTTGTGGAATCGTCCACCAGGAGACTCCCATGTCCATCGTTTAGATTCTGCCTTCTGGAACTGTGAGTTACCATGAATGGCCTTGGTCGACATGATGAACTCAGACAGTCTCTCACCCTGTTCGTTCCATTCTAGGCCATGGGTCCCGATGTGAAGTTCTTCAGCTGATCTTCTCGGTCCTATCTTGGCATTAAAATCACCCACAATGATCTTGTAGAAGGTGTGGTCTTCTTTATAGAACTTCTCTAGCTCCATGTAGAACTTCTCGATTTCTCTTTCATCATAATGAGATGTTGGTGCGTAGACAACGAAGATAGAAACTGCAGGCAGTGAGCCACATCTATTCAAATGTAAACGTCCTATTCGGGTTGTTAGGCATTCGAATGAATCAATGCTCTTGGCCAAGTTTGTGTTGACAAGGACACCAACGCCTCCAACACCTCTTTTATCGCATGTTCCGAGGAACAATTCTTCTCCGGTGTCGAAAACGGCATGGTGAAATTCGTGCCTTCTTGTCTCGGTCAGACCAATGATGTCGTACTTGATCATTCGCGCTTGTACCATCAGATCCTCGATTGATGCATCTGATGCTAGCGTACGTGCATTGAAAGTACAGACGATCATTTTTGTCTTCCTTCGTAGTGGCAGCATAGGTCGGCCTTGAGATTTTGTCGGCCTCTCCTTTCTCATCCTTCTCAGTGCTGCCATGTCAGTGAAGCCTTCAGGGTCAGGTGAATGAGACCTGTTGTAGACACTACTTCCACTACCCAGCCGTCGCCACACTCCAGGATGCTTTCCGGACCCGCACGGCCGCTTGCGGCTTGCGGCCGCGCGACACATCATAAGACACTAAATACCCATCTTCTGGAATTGTCGTACCATATTTGATAGGGTTCAAATATGGTAACACCTACAGGGGTGAATAGAGGTCACCCCAACAGCCTCTATCCCTCTCGGAAAGACTGGCAAGCTACCGAGAGTATTCCGCCCGCACGGAAGAGCCTGTCAAGCTATCCGCTGTGTATTCGATATGCCAAAACCAGTAACTACAACTTGTCTCATTCACCTGACCCTGAAGGCTTCACCGACATGGCAGCCCTTACTCCATAGCACCCCAAAAAAATCAGGGTCCTGACAAGGGACTGGATGGAACCAGAGCAAGCTGTAAGCTATGTACTACCCTGGCATCGAAATGGGCCTGGCCAAAGTGCCGCAATGCTTAACTATAAATTAAGAGCTTGGTCATGGACAAATGCCATTATGGCCAAAAAAGAAATAGCTAGATTCAGACTCAATCATCTCGGAATGATTAATCTGGCCTGAGTGCTGTAGTCTGAGTCTGTGGCAAGATGTTCCCAGGAGAGCTGCCCTACAAGCCTCAATGTATCTCTTATTGTGTCCGTACAAAAACAACTAGTATTAAGATGATTGAGTCATTGGTCTATGGAAATTTCTCAGTTTCTGTTGCCCTTGTGCCTTTGCTATTTCATTACTTTAAGAGGTATTTTTCCCCTGGGCAAGTCAGGAAGGGCTTTCCTATGTTGATTTTGCTACCAGGCTATGTGTCCTGTGGGCAAGGTGGAGAGAGACAAGTTGGAGAGAGAGAAGAGTTGGGTAGAGGAGAATCAAGAGAACTGGGATGGAGGAATGAAGGGCTAAGAAGAAAGCAGTTACAAATAAGCAGAGAGGAATGGGAGCACTGTCTTGGGAATAACCCAAATAAACGTAAGCTGCCTGTGACAGTGTTATCCTACAGCTTACAACCTATAAAGTTCTATGATAACTTGTGAAAAAAGGGAAGAAACCTAGCAAGGTCATGAAGTACAATGTCAACAAGTGAAAATTTAATGTATTTTCAAATACACAAAAGATGCCATCTATTCTTTTACAATCATAACATCCAAAATACAGAGCAACATATAACGAAGATTTACAAATCCACCACACTGAAAACTATATATCATTGGTGAGAAACAAATTGAAAGACAAACAATATGAAAGAAATAGTACCTTGGTCATAGTTTTGGAGATTTGGTGTTTATAAGAACACAAGCCTCCTCTACTTTATCTCAAGCTCCAATGGAATTCCAATGCATATGTTTGGTATTATAAGTATTAAAATTTAGCTACATTCTCATCTGATTTCAACAATAGCTCTGAAATTCACAGAAGAAATCATATTCTTTGATTCACTATAGTAATTCAATTGGATACTTTTTCTCTAAAAAAAAAAAGAAGATTCTCCAACACAAGTTGGCAAAAATTATTTTCCAATGGGTTTTCAAAGGTGAAAGATAATAGCATTTTTACCAGAAATGTTGAATTTTAATATTTTTTTTTTATTTTAATAGGACAAGATAGGGGCTGGAGCAATAGCATAGCAGGTAGGGTATTTGCCTTGCACACAGCTGACCTGAATGACCTGATTTCGATTCCTTTGCCCCTCTCAGAGAACTCAGCAAGCTACCGAGAGTACTTCGCCAGCATGGCAAAGCCTGGCAAGCTACCCATGTCATATTTGATATGCCAAACACAGTAACAAAAAGTCTTACAATGGAGACGTTACTGGGCCCACTCAGGCAAATTGATGAACAATGGGAGGACAGTGGACAGTTGACAGTTGACAGTTTAATAGGACATTCCACTTGTGAATTTATTTTATGCATATAATAATTTTACACATGTAGATTCTATTTTTTCTTATATCTCCAAAAGTTGTAAACTATTGTTGGGGTCCGAGGCTGATACTCCTTCTTTTGAACCACACAAAGAGTTCAGCCAGTAATGCAAAACACAAGCAGAGTTTGTTCAAGCCAGCTAGCTGGGGTCAAGCTCTCAGGCACGCAGGCCAAAGCAAGACCCCGAACAAGGGGAACGCTTCAGACTTTATAGTCAGTGTGTGCGCCATAGCCCAGACTTACAGGTTCAAAGAGAAACATGAGTAAAAATGCAAGTTTCAGCATGATTTCAAACAGCACAATGAACAGTTACAGATAGGTCGTCTTATCCTGTTTACCAGGCCATTCTGGCGGTTGTTTCCCTTCCCCATGCTCCTGTCCAGGTGGTTTCTATTCTATAGATAACAGAGACAACAAACTATTAGGAAAACCAGCGTGTGGGATGGCAGGGGGGGTGCTAAAAGAAATATGAAGCAGGGGCTATAAAAATGGAGTTCATAAAGGAGTCTTCCATGTCCCACTCCATATCCAACACTATATTAATTCTGGAGAAACACTATTATCATTTAAATATTGCCTATTGTCTAATCCTTCATGCATTGTGAAACTCTAAGCAGGTAACTACTACATATTCCTTTTTTAGTGTGTATTTCATTTTCTTTTTTGCGACTTTTAACCACTTTATTTCCTTTAGTTATTCTGGGGAAAATTGTATGTTTTGGTATGAAACAAATAAAGCTTTTAGTAATATACCATTTACTTGTCTTATCTTCCACACTATACATGCTACTGAGTCTATTGATTAGATTTTTTTATTTTAATCTAATAGTATATTTGACTAATTTTTGGATGATCCATTCTTTCTAAGGAATATGATGCTTAATTATATACATATATTCACTTTGATACTTTAAATTGTTTTTTTAGTCTCCCCCAAAATGATTATTTTAAAGTTCCTTTCCCATGAATGGCAAAGTAATACAGTATATCTGAAGAAGAAAAGTCAATGGCATACTGAGTAACTTAAAAATAGATGATAGATAACTTGAAGGCCAGCCACACGTGCTAGGTGAAAAGGAAGCTCAGATAGAGAAGAGAGCACCAAATAAAGGGTGTTGTGAGGACCCTTCCAGGGTGGGAGAAGCATGCAAAAAGTAGTCTATAGACCAAACATGATTGCCACTCAATGCCTCTCTTGCAAAACACAGTACCCAAAGAAAAGAGAGAGAACAAGGGGGAATGCCCTGCCACAGAGGCAGGATGGGACAGGGGGGATAGGGGGTGGGAGGGATGCTGGGACCCGTGGTGGTGGAGGATGGGCACTGGTGGAGGGATGGGTACTTGATCATTGTATAATGGAAACCCAAGCACAAAAATTTATAAGTCTATAACTGTACCTCATGGTGTTTCACTAATTAAAAAAAATAGATGATAGAAGCCCAAGAAGGCAAACTGATATGACTAACAACAAAATAGCCAACATTGACATTGAGTAAAGACTTAATAACTTTTTTAATATCATGTAAAATCCAATAATTAGGACATCAGGTAAATGAGAAGACAACCACCTAGCCAATGTTTGACGTTCTTCTGGCAGACACAATCAGAATAAAGTTTTATAAACATTAAGGAAATCTCATTTCTTTCCAATAGCTTGCTTCATGGGGTGACATTTTAATTTATTATCTTAAAAGAATAAATTAACCTCTCTCTTAGAGCCAGATAGTCAAGATGCTATAACAAAGTCCTGAGCACTGCCAGGTGTGGCCCCCAAACCAAACCAAAACAAAAGAGTAAAATTTATGTAGGTGATTTATTAAAAATAATTTTGTAAATCAGATACACATAGATACAACAGGCTTCCTATAAGACAGACTTCTATACCATCAGATCTTTATTTTAATTCCTTGAGTGTGTTTTATGAATATATTTCTGAATATACTTTGAATGTGTCTCTCAACCAATAGATGCCTCAAGAAAACAAGAATGATTTTCTTCTTTTAAAAACCTTTCTTACAGCTCTTTTTATAGCTTTATTTCTCAGGCTATAGATCACTGGATTGAATGTTGGGGGAACAACCGTATAGAGAATAGTGAGTAAAATGTCCAGAGCAGTGGGAGTGTCAGAATGGGGCTTCAAAAACTCAAAGGTACCAGTAGAAATAAATAAAATAACAACAATGAGATGGGGAAGGCAAGTGGAAAAGGCCTTGGCTCTGCCCTCAGCAGATGGCATCCTGAGCACGGAAGAAAATATGTTTGTATAGGAGAATCCAATAAAGATGACACAAAGAAACGCCAGCAAACACAGGAAGGCAGCAACACCAGCCTCGCCCAGATACTCACTAGAGCAGGAGAGTTTCAGGAGCTGGGGGATATCACAGAAGAACTGGTGAATGATGCGAGGGCCACAGAAGTGGATGGAGAAAGTAGCTGCCGTGTGCATGACTCCAGAGATGGCCCCACTGACCCAGACGCCGACGACTCCATGGACACAGGTTCTGACGTCCATGATGATGTCATAGTGCAGGGGCAGGCAGATGGCCACGTAGCGGTCATAGGACATCACCGTGAGCATGGACATCTCAGCAGAGCCACAGACCGCAAAAGCAAAGCACTGCACGATGCATTCCCAGAGGGAAATGTTTCTGCTATGCATGAAAGAATTGCAAATGAATCTTGGAACAGTCACAGAAATATAGCAGAGATCCAAAAAGGAGAGATGTTTCAGGAAAAAATACATGGGGGAGTTGAGACTGTCATCCAGGGAAGTTGCGGTGATGATGAGCATGTTGCCAGTTAAAGCCAACAAGTATAAGACCAAGAATAATGAAGCGTAAAAGACTTCTAGCTCAGGCTTGGCAGAAAAGCCCATGAGAAGAAATCCACTTGCAGATAAATTAGCCATAGTTCTTTGTTCTTTCCAATCCGCATTGGCTGCAAGAGAAGATGCCAACTCTTCAGCACAACAATTTTGTTGAAAATTAAATCTAAGCCCTCATACTCAAAATATAAAGATGTCAGGATGCCATTTTCGATTTATACGTTGGGGATTGTCATAATCTCTTTGATCATTTCTGATGTCTTCTCTAAGTTAAAGGAAATAATCAAAAGTAGATTACAAGTTTCCATTTTAACTTAAGCAAATTAAAAAGTATTTTAAAAATTATGATTTCATAATGGAACTAAGGTGAATTTAAAGTTTATTTATCTTAGAAGACTATTTTTTGAGGATGCAGCACACTGGCTGAGGCCCAGGTTTAATCTTGATTCAGCCTTCAGGGATCATCCCTGGCTTGGGAGGGAGACTCTCAGAGCCCAGACCAAACCAGGTGCTGCATGCAAAGCAAGAGCCTTACCTGCTGTAACATCTCTCCAGCCCCAAGTCTCGTTCACTGCAACACACCTGCTTACATATCTGAATTACTCCTATTTTCCTATTCATCTTTCTGTCTACACATCATTTAAACCATACTAGTTTTATTAAAGCCATTTCAAATTTTTGTTTTATGGATAAGGGAAAATTCTAACTCTTTCTTATTATTCTGTATTTTAGGAGCAGTGAAGTAGATTTCACTCTCTGGTGAACTATACACAAGCAAAATATTTCAACTGGGATATGAAGAAATTCAATGCAGACCTCCTGAAACCCATGTTGGTGAAGTGAAGGAAAGGGTCAGAAGTGTGGCAGGAAAGAGAGAGAGTCATTCTCATAGTGTGGCGACCAGATCAGTAGGCATGTACACACAGAAACGTGTAAAGCAATGCACCCAAAATGATAAACTATTGTAAACCAATGATGACTCAATTAATTAAAATACTTATCATTTTCTTCTTAACAAATACAATTTAGAACAGTCTACTGTGAAAGCCTTGCACGTAGCCAACCCCAGTTTGACTGCTCAGGCACCACTTGGTTCCCTGAGCATCATTGGGTGCAGAACTGTCTTCATCCTGAGCACCGTGAAAGGAGCCTAGTAATACCAGGCAACACAGGGCATGAGCACCCCCATATTCTTGAGCTCTCACAGTGACCTTGTCCAGCTGGTAGACCGAGTATCCCAGGGAGAGATTCCAGAGCTCTGCTCAGGAAGCAAAACTTAAACAAATACAACAATGAAAATCCTAGTTTTTCAATAGTATCTATGCATTATTTATGATAAACAGATTTATGATATTTATGGTATGTATATGTGATATATGAACAACCATTATATTTAATCATTATTATCACAAGGTGTCATATATTTACATAAAATCATAATTTCCCAATAGAGTATGAGAAAAGAACATACACCATGCCGTGTATTGTTGAAACTAAACGGGTAGGGCGTCTGCCTTGCACGCAGCCAACATGGCCGACCCAAGTTCGATTCCTCCACCCCTCTCGGAGAGCCCAGCAAGCTACTGAGAGTATCCGATATGCCAGACACAGTAACAACAAAGTTTCCAATGGAGACGTTACTGGGCCCACTAGAGCAAATCGATGATCAACGGGAGGGCCTTTACTTACTTTCATATTTATATTAATTAATAAATTACTTAAAGTTCTAATTTTATAAAAATGAAAAGTCCTTTTTTCATAAGGCAGTACTTTATGTTTTTAATTTTATGCATTTGTTTGAAATGAAATTATATAAAACGTAAATAGCATGGTCAAAGTTTTGCATACTGCAAAAGAGAAAGGTTGCAACATAAAAATTAAAATGTTCTGAAATGCTATTCAGGTATATTTAGATCTAAGCAATATTTTGATTAATGAAAATATTTATTAAAGAAGAGCAAATTTATTTAAAATTAATACTAAAATTAGCACACAGACAAATCATTAAGTAGTTGAGCAGTTCTTTACACAGGAAGATTTTATTTTATTTTCTTACTTTACACAGTAAGATTTTAGAAGTCATTGACTATGATGCATTTTGTTTCAGCTGTGAGATGATGATTATTACTTGTACTAGTATATACCATACATATGCAGGTATGTCTCAGTACATGAAAGAGCATAAGGAAATAAAGCATGTAAGTATATTTATTTCTGAATGGTGAACATATTATTATGTTTATTGCAAATAGATTAGTTAGCCTCACCCAGCAACATGTTAGAAACTAGATACAACTTTTGATTTTTAAGCACTAACTCTGTGAATGACCCTGTATTTGTTTACTTAGATCTATCCAAGAATGATGGATTTTTTCTTCCTTATGTAATTACATTGGAAAATTTTCAAATCTAATATTAATGGAGATGACTTGTCCCAGAAGAGGTCACACTATCAACATTACTGTAACCTATTTGAAATAGACAGACCCCTCACTGTGTATGTGCGCGTGCACGCAAGAGAGAGCTTACACACATGTGGGCACATGTATTTGTGTGTTTATGAGGTGGTGTACATTTCTATATATAGGTGTGTACCCCACAAGTATCTTAAACAAGTGCTCAAATTAGTAATTTAGATGCAAACTAGAATAAAATATCTTACAGGATGATGCTTTAGGTTTGTAAAATAAATTCATCACTTAGACATGTTTTTTGCAACTAAAACACATCAGGTGAATTTTTGTAGTATCCTAAAAATTCTTTGTCTATGTGTTAGGGGAGCACTGTTTATTTTACCAGTTGAAATTTTTAAAAATTCCATTCATATACATGAGACTCTAGGACATTTACACAAAAGATTTGTCTCGTCATTTCATTGATTCATATTAGTCATTCACTGCTATCATTTCATTTATACAGGTCATTTAATGGAATTCAGACAATCTTTTTATATTCAAACTTATATAAGGGCTGGAGCAATAGCACAGCTGGTAGGGCGTTCGCCTTGCATGCGGTCAACCCAGGTTCGATTCTTCTGCCCCTCTGGGAGAGCCCAGCAAGCTACCAAGAGTATCCTTCCCTCATGGTAAAGCTTGGCAAACTACCTGTGACATATTCAATATGCCAAATACAGTATTACTGGGCCTGCTCGAGCAAATCAATGAACAACGGCAGGACAGTGCTACAGTACAGTGCTTCCTTTATATGCTTTTCCTTTTAAAATTATGTAATATACAAAATTTTGTACATTACAAAAATAAATGTGTCATTGTGTCTTCAACCATTTATAGAATGCTAAAAATTAATTTTGTTACAGTTTTTTTCTTTCTGTTTTGATTTTTGGACCATACTACTTGGCTGTGCTCAGGGCTTACTCCTTGCTTTACATTCAGTGATCACCCCTGCTGGAGAGTTTCAAGGGGTGGTGGACATCAGATTCAGGACATCAAACCTGGGTTGGTCACATGTAAGGCAGGTTTCCTACCCATTGTATTATCACGCAGACCCCAATTTTGCTACACCTACATTCTTATATAAATAACCATCTAACATTTTCTCCATCTATTATTGCAACATTTATCTGTAATACTCAAAATAAAAACAGAAAAAAATGAATTTCTTCTATATCATCCAAGGTGTCTTTGTCCTTATTTCCATCCCTTTAACAACTCAGAACATTTAAAAAGTCCCAATCGAAATCTCAAATACTTTAAATGTAAAACTGTCCTCCCTTTGTTCATCGATTTGCTTGAGCGGCCCCAGTAACGTCTCCATTGTGAGGCTTGTTACTGTGTTTGGCATATCGAGTATGTCACGGGTAGCTTGCCAGGCTTTGCCGTGTGGCCAAGATACTCTTGGTAGCTTGCTGGGCTCTCTGAGAGGGGCAGAGGAATCAAACTCGGGGTGGCTGTGTTGGCCGCATGCAATGCAAACGCCTTACCCGCTGTGCTATCACTCCAGCCCACTTTAAATGTAAAGGTAAAGGTAAAGGCCCTCCCGTTGATCGTCGATTTGCTCGAGCAGGCCCAGTAACATCTCCATTGGAGACTTTGTTGTTACTGTGTCTGGCATATCGAATACTCTCGGTAGCTTGCCGGGCTCTCCGAGAGGGGCGGAGGAATCGAACTCAGGTCAGCCATGTTGGCCGCGTGTAAGGCGAACGCCCTACCCACTGTGCTATCGCTCCAGCCTTTTATCGGTTTCATTTCTCCAATTCTATTTTCTTATCTCCAACTAATTTATTATCCTGTAACAATGGAATAAATAAAATCTTAAATATATTTTGGATCCCTGTTTACACTGTTTGAATAATTTAGAGAGGATTGCTGAAGCAGAAAGAATTTTATACCTTTTAGAAATCAATATTATAATGGCCAATGAGTGGCCAATAATTATTGGTGATTACATATAGAAAGGAAATAAATTGAAGTTAGAATTTTCCTCACAAAGTGTTTCTGGAATGAAAGAGGATTATAATCATCTCTTCCTGATTTCCAATTTCAGTTAAAAACTATGAACCCATATACTTCATTAAATATTTTTTTATATCATTGACTTACAGGGGGTCATCAATATTTCTTTACTGAATCTCAGGACACTTAACTCACCAGAGCTTATGCACAAACTTCTTTCTTTTGCACAGGGACAAGCTGAAATGTCAGGAGATGAGTCTCAGCGAATGTCCTAATCTGTTCAATCCATCCCTTTCAATGAAACATTATTCTGTGTAGAGGAAAAATATAAGCCCATTAAAATCTTTATTTGACCATTAAAGGTTAAGCTATGTGACCTTTTGGCAAGAGAAGAGCTCCTGGGTCTCAGGGATTACTTTGTCAATACCCTGGGGCCCAATTTCACAATTATATTGTTTTCCTGTATTTTTCTGCTGAGTTGATCTAGTGATTACACTTTGTTAACTGTGGTTTTACATTTATTTATGTCCCTTAAACCAAATTATTGAAAAAATTTGTAACTTGCATTTCATATCCAGCATAACCAATGCAAGCAATTAAGTTAATTAATAAGATTAATTATAAACTAAAGTATTGCGTTATTTTGGTTCTAGTGATATTTATGTATACAGG